ATATATATATATATATATATATATATATATATATATATATATATATTAGGGCAATTTGTAGTGTATTTGTAGTGAATTTGTAGTAATATATATGCAGCTTTTCTGTAAAGATGCATATATTTATTTAGTTATTATTTACTTAGTTAGTTATTATTTATATTTATTTAGTTAATTTCAACTTTTTTTTAAGAGTGCTACATTTTAAGTCCAATAACACAGTGCTGGATTAGAGCTGGATCTTCTTAGGTGTAGAGGTTGTCTTTTTTCATCTCTGTATCTCAATCTGAATAAGAATAACAACAATGAAAAAATATTTTCTGCCATCTTGAATCCGACCATTGATTGCTACAGTGTCCTTGAGCGCGCATCCTCTGCAGAGAGGACACCAAGTGCTTCATTCAGCGGCGCTGACCGCGCCATGGTCGATTATAAGAGAAGAAAGGATATCAGAAAGTATGCTCCAGGAAAACTTTGACAACAGAGGCGCGCGCAAATCCAAATAAAACCACCAAGTGATGAGGTCAAACAAAAAAATAGAAGCGCTCAAAAAAAAAAAAATAATAATAATAAAAAAGACTTATATTCGTTACTAATTGTCTCTGTTATTATAAAAAAAAAGGCAAACTAATTTAACTTATACATGGCACACACCCAGCTTTGTTGGGTTCTGCTGTTTTTAATTTTCAGCAATCAGTTCATTATTAACCTACATTTAATGATGGCATTGCTAGCTTAAAGCAACTTAAATTAATAATTACTCACTGTTATTTAATACATGGTGATGTTAATGATTTAAACACATTTTATAAATTACGTCCTAATATCACAATCAATTTATACGAATAGAAAAAAAACAATCTGCGGTCTTTGTCTTAGCGGATTATAGGCTAAACGGGTAAATGACAGGTCTTCAACATATTTTAAACTTGACTGGACATAGTATTTAATTCGTCTATATGTGTTACTTTATTCGCAATAAAGACAGATATTAGAACAGATGATGCACTGAAGGCCATAACCGTTTAAGGAACGATAGACTTTGTGGAAATTGGCTTTAATCTTTATTAAGATAGTCATTAGATATGGGAAAATAAAAATTAATAGTTAATGATGAGAAAAACTAAACAGTTTTTAAATCTATAGATTATAAGACAGTGGTGCGGAAGTGTTTTTGAGTTTAAAAAAGTTCCAGCAATCAACTTTAACATAGATGAAAGCCTAAATTAATAGATAAACTGTTGAAGTTAATCAAAGTGGTTAATTCTTACATTAAATAATTCGTTCCGATTAACAGTTGGATAGAGGTGCTTTTAAGATGCGCAGTTACATTACGCCACGAGGAGGCGCTGGTGAGCCACACTACACAGAGTCAATCTATGTGGTGTTCAGTGGGTTAATATGTAAAATACCTTTGATAGATTGTGGTACGGAGAGTAATAAAGGTTAAAAAATAATAATAAAGCAAGTAGAGCAATTTCAAATAACAAACTTAATTATTTCCAGTGTAATAAAGTAAATCAAGGCTAAGAATAGGTTGACAGAATTACATAAAAGATGTCAAATGTACAGATTTCCATAAATAAACAGAATCATTCTGCTGAAATCTGAGTCAGAGGAGAAATGCTTTTAACTGAATTTTTAGATTTAAAAAAATAATTCTTTTGAAGCTTTCTGACAAATCTTGACCATTTGAAATACTTTTCAACATGAGAATGTTTTCATTTCTGGTGTAGTGATTTCATTTGGCCTCTCAAATCGATCAAGATTCATTTTAATATTCTTTCTGGAGATTAAATCGTAAAAAAAAAAAAAAAGATGTATCTTACTAATATCTATCTGATACATATTACAAACTCTTCTCATAGCCTAACCCCTTTAGCACGTGCAACAACAAAAAAAATTGTGGTATGCAAGCATTGAGTTTCTCATTTATCTGAGATTTATGTGTTATATATTGTGAAAGGATTTCTCTCAAGGCATCAGAGGTAAAAACACACTGTAAATAGTCAAGAATTTTTGGCTGAAGTAGTTTTGTGGCTGTGTTAGCTTTCATTTCTGTCCAAATAGTGCTTGCAGAAAGGAAGAAGACGGGAAAAGGAGCAGAGAGCGGATTTGCTATATTTGCTGTTATAAGTGGGTAAAAAGCAGTTTTAATATATTTGTAAGTGAGAAAGTCTACCTGAAAACTTCATCTGTGCAGTCAATTCATTAAAATTATGATCCTGCCTTCAAATATTATTTCCCTGTGCACCAGCATAAAACCCTGTACACCGGCAGTGCTCTGTCACTGGAAATCCCCCCTAAAAGGCAGCCTCTGGCCCAGTCGCCTCTTCTGTGTTTTCTGCTAATGTTTGCAGTGGCTGGAAGGTGTTTTCCAAACCGCAGGCACCAAAATAATAAAATCGAACACATTTTGCCATCAGGTTTCTAAATCTTAATCCTAAATTATTTTAAATTAATCTAGGCATTAATAAACTGTTTTAGTGAAGTGATCATAGTGATCTGCATTAGCAGTGCTGTGTCTGTCTCCCTGCCAGCTCCCAGATCAGCTTTTGATTGGTTGATGTGGCACATGGAGCAACAAAAGTTAAATTTATTCAACTCCAGCAGCTGCTGCTTTTGCAGCACATCCAGAGCATCAGATGCTCAGCAGCACATGAGACACTGCTCCAGCTGCTTCGATGATGCAGTGCTCCTGCTGCTCAAAACGTGCTACTCGACCTTTTGCTGCGCGTTGATGCACATTAACCATTGACTTTGCATGTATACTAGCTGCTTCTGCTGCCTCTAGCACGAGAGGTCTGAACGTAACATTAGACTTTAATATGACTTCTGAGGCAGCTATAAATTGGATTTGTTTAAAAATGAGTTCAAATGAAAACTTGCATCACCTCCAGCTGTCCTCTGAGTGGACATCCATTTATATTTCTTAGTGCCTGGTCCATCAGGTCCCACATATGTTGATAATTGTCTCCACCTGGTGGCCTGGAGCACCTCCGTTAAGTGTAACTAGTTTACAGTTTTTCTTAAATTTTAGCTGCTGCTACCTACAGCATTTTTTCTTTTCCTAGTGTTTGGTATGTTAGCGTTATCTGTGTATTAATGCGGGTTTGGGGTCTGCAGCACATCTGACACTTTTGCTCTCTATTTTTGTAAACAAAGCATTTCTCCTTTGCAGCATATTTCTTTTGCATGTGATTCATTTATGTATTGTTTATGTGTTAGTCTCAGTTTTGTGTTTGCAGTACTTTTCAAATCTGTTATGCATTGCTGTTTTTGCAGTGTGCAACCCCAGCAACATATTTTGGGTTTTGTTGTAGATTTACATTAACAAATTCCATATGGGATATTAAATCCTATATGCAATTTGTAATTTGTGAAACAACCATCAATGATTTAATTGAATTTTTTACCATTTCATTCTTTTTTCTTTTTTTTTTTACAGTGTCCTGTCTGGCTATGTGGCAATAAGAATAATTGTCTTGATGCCAAAAAGAGCCCAACAGTGTAGCAGTATGGCAATTGCCATACTGCTCCACTTGTTTCATGCATATAAATTGCTTTATTATAATTATGCAGGGAGTTTTACAGTTTATATGGACACTGCAATGTAAATAGAGCAGAAAAACAGAGGAAGAAAAGGAAAAAAGAAAAAAAAAGAGAAAAGATGAAAGATAAGATGAAAGAAAGAAGAGATAGAAAGGACCATTTCATTCTAACATCTCCTAAGTAAATTTAGTCAAATACCTCTGTCTGCATTGTTTCTTGCTGATCACCAGTCAGATATGCACTTTCATCCTTGGTTTTACACAATCTGCTTTCCAAACACAGCTTGTGTTGTGTCTCCATCTGTGACATAGTTTCAGTTTCTCCTAAAAAGTAACTTGCAAGACATAAGACTTTAACTTGAGCTACATTTTCCTTTAGCAGGAAGCATGTTCCTCTGTAGATTTAGTTTCTGGTTAATTCGCCTCATGAGACCAAAACCATCGCAATATAAAGCTTTAAAGTAATCTTAAACTGTAGTTACTATATCATAGTCCTCACACTTAATATCTCAGTAATCCAGTTGGGATGACAATTTTATTTACGCAAATAGATAAATCTGTAACTATAGCCATGAAGTCAGCTTTAGTAAAACTGTTCCAGCGTTAAAAAACCTTGAAATTCCATGAACAGTTCCCATAGGTAAAGGAAGGAAAGGAAAGACAATTTTCCCCTTTGCTGAGGGGTGGGCAGCAGAGAGTCTGAGTTCGAACTTAACTCCCCATTTTTCTCCCAGTTAAGAGAGAAAGTTGGCTCTGCATGTTGAAGGACAAAAACAGCTGTGCTGGAATCCAGCGCAGGCCTGATTGCAGCTGTTGTTTCCAAGCAATATTCAAACACTGCTGATAGACCAGGGGGGATTGCCTCACTGGTATCTCATCTATGAGAAAAGATACTGACCATATTACTGTCTTAGTCAACTGAAGTTAAGTTACATCTAAGAAAGGTTTGCACATAGTTTTTCATCCAATGAAAACCTTTTTTAACATTTCAGATTACATTTTCTTCAAAGATATTTTTACATTTACAGTGATAAAACTGTGCAGCAATACCACCAAAGATGTTCACATTCCCCAATCAAGTCCCAGTCAAACAAAAATAAAATTTTTATATTTAATGCATATCATTTGGTATGAGTAAAACACATATTATAGGTAAGTTATGAAATAAAATTATCCTCCAATAAAATTTGACACAAACATTTTATAGTTTCATCTTTTCCAGAACATGTTATACTACATGTAAAAAGACATTTATTATTCTAGAAACTCAATACTGACAACATATCTTCTGTTTTTAATTTAATTAAATCTAGTATTGGACATTTAAGTTAGTTATCTTATAGTTTTATAAGTGGGCTTTTATTGGGTAATTGCTTTTTAGTGCTTTTGCGTGCTTAAAAATAAACTTAAAAGCTTAAAAAAATAAATACACTACACATAAACAGGGAAACGTAATACTGTATTCTAACTATTCAATCTTTTATTGCTAAAGCATGAAACGTTTACTTTTAGCTGGCAACCTCTCATTCAACATATGTTCAGAATGCTCAAACCTTTGTGAAAACCAATTTTGAGTAATTAACTTTTAATATTTAAGTTTGAATCACTAACATTTTTTACATCTTGATGTAAAACACGTACTCCATTCTTCAATACTCTTACTCACTTACTCAAAAATGTTGATGTAATAATTTCTTTCTTGTACACAAAATACCAATTTTTAAAATATAATATAGTGTAATATTTATTAAAGAACCACAGCACATTTTATATGCAAAATGACCAATAGAAATCTCAGCATAATTCAAACTGTGATTTTTCTTTTGAAGTAAAGTGTTTTCTTTTTTTTTTTTTAGGACTCATATCCCTGTTTATTTAAAGTTTAAAAATATGGTAAAATAATTAAGAATTTCAGTATTGATACAGAACATGAGAGATATGTCACTCAGTATTTTAAGGAAATGTAAAAGGAATACCAGGCTTTAAGAAATAGGTATGCTATCTGCTTTAATTTATTTTTTAATTTAAAAAAGGGGGGAAAGTGAAGAATTTTATTCTCCCAAATATTCAGCGTGAAAATCTATTGGAATTACAACAACCAAACCTAAACTTTTATTTCTAACCTGCTTCTGTACATCTGCACACTGCTAGATTTTCTTTTTACCTTTGAGGATGGGAGGCAAGTCATTAAGGCTGGAAGGCCTCCTTTCCAGCGCCCTAATCTTCGGCTGAGCCACAATAAGAAATAACTTATCCAGTCAAAATTTATATTGACTAAATTAAAATACAGTTCTAATCAGGCATGTGATATGACAACCATAAGCTTAACTAAACATTTAGGATTATAACACACATTGTGGCTGTGGGTGTATTAAGCAAAATGAATTTGTAAGCTGCCATTACCTCGTTTTGCTGGCATGTACTGTGTGTAGCATTACCATGACGACCAGTCATGTTTATACACCACAGCATTCAAAGAAACAAGATTATTCCCTTGCCCAGTGGATCTACACTTCCAGGGTTTCACCACTGATGAGAAAACTACATGAGAAAAACATTTGAGCAGAATTTGAGCCCTAGATCTCTAGTTTGAGCCGAGTCTCAGTCAGGTCTGAAATGTTTTTTGTGTCATAGTCTCTAAATACCACTGTGATAGCGCACCAAACATAAAATAGAGCTTCAAGTTATGCCAAGTATTACACTAGCATTTGATAAAACAGTCTTTGAGCAGCATATATATATATATTTATATATATATGTATATATATAAAATCTGTAACATACGATGCACTTATTGAAAATTATATTTATAACAAAACTATAATTGTCCATTCCGCAAGAAAAATGTTAAGACAGAAGAAAATATATTTTTCTACAGTAAATACTGAAATTCTTAATTATCACTCAGCCTCTTCACAGGCCTTAGGAGCCAAGTTCTTACAGACCAGACCCAAACTGCTGTTTGCTTGACTTTGGTTGTGTTTCTTGTTTCTTTTTCTTGAAAGAATGTACATTAACTTGGAGCGATAGTGATCTCCGGCTAGGAAGTACAGGATGGGATCGATGCAGCTGTTGAGGCTTGCCAGCGGCCTTGTGATTTTGTAGGCAAAGTTCACAATGTTAAGGAACTCACAGTTGAGATTCAGCACACGTGAGGTGTAGTAAAGTGTCCGTGTGACGTGAAACGGGACAAAGCTCACTGCGAATACTATCAACACCACAATGATGAGTTTGATGGACTTTCGGTGGGAGCCAGTGGCCTGCTGGCTGGAGGATAATCCCTGTCTGGGCTGACACAGGGTCCTTGCCATCAGACAGTAACACACCAAAATGACTACGAACGGGATGCCAAACAGCAGTACCATTATTACAGAACTGTAGTCAACATACTGCTCAAAGGCATCTTGTCGAGTTGTGTCATGGCACAGCGTGTCATTGTCTCTCCTTGAGGTGGTGACGAAGATAAGGTTAGGCACCAGGCAAACCGTAACAACAAACCATACCGAGCCGCACACCAGGTGGGCGTGGCGAGACTTCACCATGGTCAGCACCTTGATGGGGTGGCAGATGCCAAGATACCGATGCACACTGATGCAAGTGAGGAAGAGGATGCTGCAGTAGAGGTTGGCATAGAAGAGGAAGCGAACGATTTTGCATAGAGCGACGCCAAAAGGCCAGTCACTGCGGTTAGCATAGTAGTAAATCAGAGTGGGCAGTGAGAGCACATACAAGAAGTCCGACAAGGCAAGATGGAACATGTACACAGTACTGGGGTTCCACGGGCGCATCCTTATGAACATCCACAATGCCATGGAGTTGAGAATGAAGCCAACAACAAAAACCAGGCTGTAGGACACAGGAAGCAGGATGTATTTAAACTCCTCATTAAAGCGACAGCTGGAGTTAAAAACTGGTGTGAAAACCTCCAACTGGTTGTGTGGACTGGAGTTCCTGATGACCAGCTCCATGATAGACATCTTATAGTCAATAGATGACCTAAAAATGTAAGAAAAAAAAAGATTTATTAGTGTTTTCATAGTAAGAACATGAAACATGTGGTTATAAAACATTTTTAATCTACAGAGGTTTAAATAGAAATGGCTGCAACACCTTCCTGTTTGCTTTGAATCCTAATATCCTCTGATTCATCTCTTAACATTAACAGCATACTGGCATCAAAATATCTCTGAGTGATAAACAGGATGCATGGCAGACACATGCAATCAACTCAGAAGTGTAAATTGATATATTATGTTAACCAGAGCTGTTAAAAAGAATTGGCTCTCCTTATAGAATTCTTCTGTTTATGCTTGTTGTCAGAGATAAATATTTACCTATTTAAATATAAATAGGTAATCAAAACCATTAAAAATCCAACAGATAAACTTGTTCAGTAATGACAAAAAATCTTTTCAAATAGAGACCAACCAATTAATCAGCCAGACGATATTTTGGAACGGCATCGGCCAATCCAAATGCACACATCCTCCAAATCATTTGTGCATTCAGCACCCCTGTTCTGAGATCAAGTAAAGCGCATGCATTGCAACTCCCTCCATTCGCCATCCACTGTTAACGTCATTTTTCAATTGCTAATGTTGTTTTTTAAATGGAGAATTGTGTTACAATTGTTATCATTTTCTTCATGTATATTAAAAAGCTATATATCTACTCAAAAACTGGCCCAAAAAATAATTCTAAAACCGTTTTGTGTTTTTAACTTTTGCTTTAGTTTAAGATTGACTTGCTGACAGAATTTCAAATAAGATTGCCCTTTAGGAAGTAGAATTAATGGTTTCACCAATCATAATAAGGTCCTTAATAATCAAGTTCCTTCTGTAGCAGAAAAGCCCCAGACCTTCATGCAACAGCTAGCATGGCAGTATTTATGGTCTAAACCTGCAGATGCAATGTTCGCTTTTCTAAAACATTATGTTACCCATGATTTACACTGCTGGCAACACTCCCTTCTGCACTTTACTGCCATTCATTTTAGTCATAAAGTATATAGGAGAGAAGAGATGCTCTGAAAAGGATTTCACAATACATTGCAGAATCAATGGATAAGCACGCTCAGTGTAGATTAGTTGTATTTTTTTTCTTATCTTGGTGCATTTAATTTGTTGATTATGAATAACTATAAATTAATCATTTAGGCTATGGATTTATAGGTATGCACGCATATTTATTAATAAAGCAAGAATTTCAAGAAAGTCTACACTGAAGTATTTTCAAAATAACAGATGTGCATGTTTATTTTCCTGTAAAGTGGTCTGATTAGATCGACTCTGAACTGGCTTCATCGTCTTTATTGAGCTCACAGTGGAGAAATGTATTCGTTACATCAGCTCAAATAGTCAAAGGAGAAGAAGAATGTGACAAAGGAAGAAAAAGAAGCATGGGATATATACAGTATATACAGTTCGTCAACATATAACAGCTTTTTTTTATTTTCTTTTATAGTATGATTATTATGAAGGGTTATTGCACAGGGTGTTTAAATTGGTATTTATATAGATGGATATTTATATTTATAGTTATTGCACTGGGTGTCAAATATATAGAAACAGATTATTGCACAGGGTATAAATAGTAATTGCACTTTATACACTGCACAAGTTATTGTCGTTGTAGTGTAGTCTGATGGCAGCAGGGATGAATGACCTGCGGTAGCGCTCCTTTTTACAAAAGAGTGTAAAAGTCTTTCACTAAAAGAGCTGCTGAGCTCCTCTACAGTCTGGTGCAGAGGGTGGAAGGAGTTGTCCATGATGGAGGTAAGCTTGGACAGAACCCTCCTTTCAGCCACTTCCTCCACTGAGTCCTGAGTGCAGCCTATACGACAGAAACAGCCAATAGAAAAGCTGTAACAAAATTATCATATGAAACTATAACTTGGTATGAAGGCATGATATTGTAGTACAAGAACTTAGTTTTACAGACTTTTCCGATACGGATAAAACGACACCTAAATGTTTAAATAGAACATTTATAAAACAGTTTTGGTAGGTTATAAAGAAAGCCCTTTCTTAGGACATTTAAGACTATCTCATTGAGGCAGAATTCAGAATGAATAGCTTTGTGGAAACATTGTAAACTCTTAAATACCAGCTGAGACCAGGTATTTACATACATAAAAAAAAAGGCTCAATCTTTTCTTCATGCTAACAGATCTAAGAAAAACAAAACTTTAAGAGCTTTAGTTAGATTAGGATTACATAATTACATTCTGTCTGCTGAAGACAACATTAATGAGAAAGACAATTTTAGGGAGGTTTTTGTTCACTTTCTATGAATTCAGAAGTGTAAATATTCATTCTTTCCTTTTTAAAGAATTTATCTAATTATTTTAACTTGGACAAAAGGTTTTGGGCATCCTTTACTGAGGTTCTTATAACAGTTTATTTATCTATTCCTCCTACAAAGTTACAATAACTTAATAAGAGTATATGCAGTACTTTTTTTAAGAAAACCTGACTTAGAATTTTAATCTATAATTAGCACAAACTTGAAAACTCACAAGAAAAAAAAAATCAAAATGCATCTCTAAATGAACAATTCGGATATTTGGGTGAAAAGTATAACTTTCAGTTAAGTAGTTTCATTTCATGTTTCCTCAATAAATCTCCACCTTACTTTAAATTTACAACCCTGCCAGTTTTTCTCTAAACAACAAGTTCTTGTTTTCACTTTGCGTCAAGAAGCAAAACATCATAAGTATGTTGTTTACTTTAAGTTTGACATCCTCTAGAGGAAATCCAACCTCTTCCTGTAATTTAATGGACTTATTATTATCTCTTAAAATACCCTAATTAGATTAAAATAAAATAAAAATATTAGCCAAAATGGTTCATATTTCCTAACTTAATCTGTGAAATATTGTAAAAGTCAACCTTAGAAGTTTATACTAACACACAATAAAGAAATACAGGGTAATAAATCTTCACGCTGTCTGGGAGGCTTTTTCTTATAATCATTGCAGTGGCATAATATCACATAGAACATTTTTAGAAGTCCAAATTTGAATCTGAATGCTTATAATCCCAACATTATAAGAAATTAACATAGATTTTTGGTTTCTGTTTTGTTTCTTAGAAATAAATGATGCCACATCCATTTGCACTTCTAAGAGTCCTGATTAAGATATGCTTTACTTCAGCATTGTGTGGGAAATCCAAATTAATGAACTGCAACCTTCTGTTTTCCTGGCATTTATAATGTGAAACAGAGACCAATGTTAAAATGAGTGAGAAAAGGGAACATGTTATTTAAGTTAAGAAGACGCGGCTTGATCTTCAGAAATAATAGCTGCAAGACAACAGTTACTCGTGTAAACTTGTTTTTATCCAAAGTTAGAGAAATAAAGTTAAAAAACAACCAATGCTGTTTCTAACAAGACATGTTCCCGCTTACAATGATGGGGATGTTGAGGGAGGAAACAAATAAAAACAACAACAACAACAAAAAACAACAAGTCGTATGTTGAAAGACTGCTGCAATTTTGAAGTGTTAGGCTATTTTTAAGATGTTTTCTTTATTGTATTTTTTTTTACCCCTGCTATTAAATGTGGCAGGGTCTGTAACCATATGTGCAACACACTTTGCTGCCAGACACAACATTCCAGTGTTTTTATGTCACCACACTAAACATATCACTTTTTAAAATATTCTGAGCAGAAAAAAAAAATATATATATATATATATATATTATAATATCATTTTTTCCTCTTATATCAATAAGTAGTTATAACAATGTTATTAATCCGAATAAAAGATCCAGCATGTTGATTTCAGTTCACTCTGAAATCTTTTCTTTGAAGAAAATGTGAAGCGAGATTAAACTTAACACACGCTGTCAGTATTTTTATACTATTTATTCTGTTTTACAACTTTTACTTAACTTCACTCAGTCTAACTGCCGCCGATGTTTTTTAGACGGGGAAACTGTTGTAAAGTAGGATATTAGAAATAGAAATAGTTCTTTTCGCTCTTGTAACCAACTATTCTGGAGTTTCTTTTCCTCTTTGTTCCCTAAACTAAGAGTTTTTCTCGTGTAAAGCGCAGTTCATTCAAGAGTTTTCAAGGCTGTCTGCTCTCACCTAAACAGGATCAGGCAGCCCTGGTCTTTGCAGGTTAGTTTGTTTTGTTTTGTCGCTTCTTCTCTTGCTGTAGTTCCCAGAGCTCCAAACGCCTCCAACCGTCCATCAGAAGTCCAGGCTCTCCTTTAACCTTCCCGCTGAGTGTTATTTACCGCAGAGCTGGAGTCCATGACAGTAAACTGTAGAACTGCAGGCATGCAGGCAGGAGGGAGGGGAGGAAGTGAAAGTCTCACTGGAGAGTGAACAAAGCATGCCCCACAGAATTAAAAAAAAAAAAAAAGTCAGGCTTTGAAAACGAAATAAAAGTGATCTCAACTTTTCATCAAACCTTGGGGTGAGATTTTGAAATAGTGTGTAGCGAATAGGATTAGGGACACTGCAAAAAAAAAAAAAAAAAGAAGTTGACTGATCTTAAAAATTTACCTCAGTTTAATATGGGAAAAAAGTCAGAATTCTTACTTTAATCTCAGAATTCTGATTTTTTTCTCAGAATTTCAAGGGCGGAGCTAGATGAAGGTGCAGGGCCAATCATTGGCCACCCCTGTGGCCACCCCTACCATATTTTTTTCACCCTCTAGAATTGAGACGCAGCAACAGACGTTGGCAGCAGTAATACTATCAAACGGAATGTTTAAACTTATTTATATTTTTTATATATTAATAGTTACTTGACAACTAAAACGCTTTGGTTAATTATGTCACAATGTTGGTTCTGTTATGTTTTCTTTTGAGTATTCAGTTTAACATTGCTCCATGTTTTCTAGTTTTATTGGTTTTATTCTTATTTTGTTGTGTTTTCTGGTTGTATTTCAGTTCTCAGGTTTTTATTTGTTGCTCTCTGTTTCCCTCTTGTGTTGGTCTCCTTTTTCCCTAGCTCCTTAGATGCTCTGTTCACACCTGCTCCCAATCTGCTCGTTAGTCCTCTCTTTGTTCAGTTAGCCATAAATCCTCTCCTTGTGCAGTTCCTCAGTGCTGGCTCCTTGTCTAACTTCCTACATATCTGTCTTACTGTGTCTTCCTCATCGTGATTGTTTTTCCCCATTAAGTCTCCATGGTTTCTGGTTTGTTTTACTTTTTTCATGTTTGATTTTTGGATTCCTGCCTCAGTTGTCTGTTAACCTTTCATTAAATCTACAAGAAACTCACCTCTGCCTCCCTGCCATCTATTTTCTGTCACACTTAACCCAAGTGGGATCGCGAGGGGTGCTGGTGCCTATCTACAGCTCAAAAAACTCAAAATAAGCGGTCCTCCTAATTGTCAGTCATTCTGGTGATATGTTTACGTAAGGCTGTTGTTCTGTCAGATGAGCATACCTGGTCAGAACAGCGTACCATAGTCAATAGCCATTTATCCACATTTATCCCTTTAGTTTTGTACAACAAAGAAACTTTAAATTACCTCAACGGGCATGTATCCATTTAGTATTGTACAAAAAAAAAAATTTTATTACTTACTTTTTGGTGTTTTTTGAAGCGTATGGTGATCTCAACTTAAATTGTTAGTTTTTTTTGTTCATGACTAAAGGGATACATGTCCAAAATGCTGTACATGTATACATCATTGTAATTTTTCTCTAGGACCATAAGTATTAGAAGGTACACTTAACTACAGCCAGTCAGATTATTAAACCACCAGTTACTATTTTTAGTGGTTGTTTGGTTGACCATTAAAATTGATTGATCTAGAACATAATGGCTTATTCAGATTTTGTCCAAGATATTTGTAATTTCACCAAAATTGGTTTAACCAACTTGATAGGTTGTTTTTCCAACCTATCAATTCTTAGAGTGTAATATCATATCCATCCATCCAGAAATTCATCCATTCACACCATTTATTTATCTGCAGAAGACACACAATTATGCATGCTATTTCTATGTCAACAGGAAATTATAGGGAATTTTTTTTTTCTTTAACAGGAACTTTAGGATTGAGGAGGAAGAGTAAATGGAATGCAAAATTTTGTGAAACTAAAAGGCTCAAGGTAACCAGTAAGGCCTCACACTTCAGTTTTAATTTCACCTAACTACCTGGTGTTAATACAAACATTAATGACTTTGTTTAAGAGTGCATTTTCAAACTGAAATGTAATTACTATTGTCTTTATTATTGGAAGAAGTTTAGCCCATGTCACCTCATAAAGTTTCATTGATCACACACTCTGATATTCCTTAGGAGGGCCGTTTCTACTTCTAGTGTTTCATTCTGGGGTTGGTATGAGCGTTCACACCAGAACAGGTTTATTCCAAAAACGTTGTTCCAAAAAAAGAAACAAAGTCCAGTGGGTTGTTATTTAAACATTTTTAGAATGACTATGACCTGGATGACTGCTTATATACAACAAGTAAAAGAACATTGTATAGTAAGCTACTGTATGCATGCAAAATCTGCATATAAATAATTTTATTTGCCTGTCATTTTGGCTGTGATAAATAATGATGGGGTATTGTGATATAGGAAAACAAAAGCTTAGGCAGGACACCATAGTAATATTCAAACAATATTAAACAGCAGATAATACAAGGTAGATAAATGCCCTCCTTCGTCCAAACAACCTAAAACAGGAAACATTTAGTCGGATTTATTTTACTCAGTGACTTCTTTGCACAAGTTTGATGCATTTCCATAGCCTTTTTGATTTTGGTACTTAGGAACAAAAACTTTGGATCAACTGTTTACTAAGCCAGAGGTAGGAATTGCTTTTCTCAGAAACGAAGGAAAGGCTTGAGTAAAATGTAGTGAGTAAACTACTTCAAATTCTGGTCCTGGTTTATTTTTGCTTAGTTAGAACATGATTGATTAATGGATCATTAACACTAAGTTTCATTAGTATTGGAATGACGTAGTTTTGTTTTCTGTTAGCCTACCGATTCCAGTCATGGACCGATATGCTCCGAAGTCAGATGTGCTGACACTGTAACTTTGATAATAAACACTGCTGGCTATTTTTTTTTTTTATTCAGCAGGTGTTGATAATTCTGGGTTTTAAAGAACATAAAACTTTTGTTTTGAGTAAAATCGATATATAAATAAAATAAACATAAATATATATAAGATATTGGTGGAATTGCATAATAACACTGCACAATGTGTTCACACTAAAAAGAACATTAAGAAATAAAAATAGGTTGTATTTCCAACATGACAGATCATGAAAAACGAGGAGAAATGTAAGATGAGTTTATTAAGCCTTTTGTTGAATGTGGTCTTCTCCAAAAATCAGAGGAAAAAGAAATAACATCTTTCAAATTAACTTTATATTTACAGTCGGAGACATGTCTTTGGACTTTAAAAGGTGTTGTCTGTTAAAAAGCAAACCAGTTCCTAATGATTTTGATGCAATAATAATAATAATACAGCTTATCTTAAGAACCTCTCAGAACACACAAGGACACTGTACAAAAAACACAATCAACAATACACACTATTAAAAACAGCACATATTATTTAGCGTATGTATGCTGTCTTAAACAGATGAGCTTTTAGTCTTGGTTTACACAGAGAAAAAAATGCGTCACTATTTTAAATCTCTGGTTGATTTTCATGGTGAGGACATGAGCAGGAGGCCAACATGGATGAAGAGAAAGATCTAGGGATTCAGGAGGGGGTAGCAATCTGAAGAAGACCGGAGAGGTTTGGCCTAACAAGATTATTGGATGGCCTTGTGAAGAGGAGGATGGAGGAGGATGTGAAGAGGAGGATTTTCAACTGAATTCTGCAGTTGAAATGGAGCCAGTGAAGCTCCTGTAGGACTGTAGTGATGTAATGGAATGAGGGGGTTTTGGTAATTAAAACTAGCCTCTGAGACCCAGACCAGCTACAAAAACAGAGCGTGGGGTAGAAGAGGAATGAAGCTGATTAATGTTTTGTAGAAGAAAATATATAGAAAGATAATGTTATTGATATGGGAGGTGGATGTGAGGGTGCTATCAAGGATGACACGCATACTCTTGACCCGAGGAGAGGGAAAGATCGTGGAACTGTCCATTAAGAGAGAGAGAAATTGATTTTGGATTTCTATTTTGTTGAAAGGCAAGGCAAGACAAGTTAATTTGTACAACAGAGTTAAAGAAAAGATCATTTAAAATGCTGAGATTGGTATCTTGTACCTATAACAAATAATTAGGGGGGAGAAAAGCTGGCTTTGTTTCTTCCCACTGGAATGGCCAAGAGGATACATGGGGGGGTGTTAAAGGTCAGAAAAACAGTGAGTTATAGTGGATTGGAGTGAAGTTGGTGTCATGATTCAGCACTTTTTGGTTTTCTTTTTAAATTTTTAGTTACACTTTGAATTATGTCATTCTGTGTTTTCTGGCTAATTGGTTTCATTTCCATTTTGTGTCCTTCTAGTTGTTTTGTGGTTGTTTTTGAGTTCTTATGTATTTCTTGCTTACTCTCTGTCCCTCCCCCCTCCCCTTGTGCCCGTTTCTTCCATTGGCTCCCTTCTAGATCTTTTGTCAACACCTGCTCCCAATCACTTGATTACTTCATTCATTGTTCTGTTTGGCATTTATACTCCTCCTCTGCAGTTAGTGTTTGCTGAGTTCTCTTCATTCAGTCATTCATTCATTCCCTCCTTAACCCATGTGTTCCCGTTTATCCTGGTTCCTATGTTCCTTGATTAGTTATTTTGGATTTATGCTTCTGTTGCCAACAGTGGCACGGGAAGGGGGGTGCTGCGGGGGCTGCAGCCTCCCTCGTCATAGCATCAGCCCCCCATGGTGGGGGGCTGTGGAGTAACATAATATTGTACTTAAAAACATGAAATTATTTATGTATTTATTTTTCAAAAGACTGTGTTTGATATGGGATTAAAATGATGGG